TTACACCCACCATAACATTTCATTTTCATTCATCCATCCTGAAGGGTTCGCATGTACAATAATGCCATCAGGAAATTCTTCACGAGGTACTTTAACTAGTTTAAAAATTATTAATGGGGGTAGTTTAGTACCATCGGCCAAACAGGCCAGAACAACAGTAAAAGTTGAACGTTCATGCCCAGTTGATAAAATTGATATGGTTTTGTTGCCTTTTTCTTCAATTGTGGTGGTGCTTGACATGCTAAAAGCTATGGCGGTTTCGTCCATATTACCAATTAAAGAAAGAGGATAGTTGTAATTACGCCGTTTAAAGAGCACAAGAGACAAAAATTCATTTTGATCCTCAATATAGCTCTCAGGAAGACGTTGAGCAACAGTAGTCCGTCTTCTGTTTACTAAATTATTCCTGGACATAAAGCCGTCTACCCACTTTTGTGAAAATTTATGACTTGCTATTTCCCCATATTTATTTTGATAACGAGACGTAGTACACAGAGAGCGAGCTTTGGCTTGAATCATAAACCGGCTTACGACTTTTTGCTGAGATCTAAGATCTCGAAACCATTCAATTAATTCGGCTTCAAGTTCAGGATACCTCAGCCGAGCCCCATGTGACAACTTTTGAATATAAGGCGCAGCTTTCATAAGGTCTGATTTTTTGGTTATCCAATCCCGAAGTTGTTTCGGTTCTATTTGAAATTTATCAGCAGTTGAATGTTTACTACGTCCTTTTTCATAATATTGATTATCATTAGTTTTTCACGCGCCGACCACGTTCTTTTGTTCTTTTTCGTTGCTCGAGCACATCGAGCTTTAAAGTTTCCACAGACCATCCTTTTTTTATATGGTTTGATGCTTGCTTCTGTGAAGTTTTACTGGTGACAGTGTTATCGTTATCGTCGTAGCTTGGTAGTTATTGCCGGTGGTGGTGTTACTGCAGAGTGCCTCTGCTAACGCCTTGTCTCTTTCTGAACCAAGTTTATTTAAAGAAGTTAAAGTGGCTTCTTATTCTGTTTCGATACTGGTACTTAACGTTAAAGAAAAAAAATTTATTCTTGGTATAGAAGTTCATTGACATTCTTTTATACTGTATCTTGTATTACTTAAAATATGTCGTGTATAATATCCCCCATATAAAATACCCCTCCAAATAAAATATCCCCCCTAACAAAATACCCGTCACCGATCAAGATACCCACGGGTACTTTATAAGTTTTTTTTTAGTTAGATTGTATCGTTCTCCGGGTACTTTGGTCAGTGCACTACGGTAAATAAATATAAGGTAAAAGGGGGTATTTTGGCGAAGGGGGTATTGTGGCGAATTTCGTTTATCTCGTATCTAATGACTCAAATTGGATAATTTTTATGCCATTTGATTCATCTCATAGAGACGAATCGAAT